CAGATACTTACTAAGTGTTAATTGTGTGGAACGATTTGTAAGAAACTGAATTTTGGGTAAGGCCTTTGGTTTTACACTACTAACATCTAACTATGCGCAATCGCACCGCAACCTGACCCTCGGGCGTTTTTCTTTCTTGTGGTATTATTGAGGGGACAATGCTTTGGGTAGACTAATCCCTGCCATTTGTCTTGCCCCATAAATACCGCCACATGGTTCATATCATTTGAGATTCAAGTGGAAAGCACATAGTTGCAGGAGATTGTGTAGTCAGTCTGTCTACGGAGTGCTACTTTGATACGATCTGTCAAAACTGGAAACTCTTAAGTTGAGACAGATTGCGTAACTGCATTTGCTAATTATTTTTAAATAATCCTCTATGGCATAATCTGAGTAGACAAAATGTTTTGTCCTCGATCAATTTATGAATCGTTGGAGAATGACTTGCTAGTACTTTCTCTATAAATAATTCCCAATATATTCTTCGATTATAGACCACATCGGCGACCTCCCGTGCCGCAGTCGGTTGATGCGCCGCCGGTCTGTGGTGCGGGAGGTTCTGGGTTCGACCCAGGATACTTTGTAAGCCGTCCCCTGATCAGCCTTCAGGCATAACACTGCAGGATGTTAATAAGTCCATTACAATATACCACATTATCTTGTTTAATTTATCGTTAATTTTAACGCATGTCTCAAAGTTGAAGCCCTGCTTCAAGTCTGACACGCGTTTCAGTCAGCAAAATCAAGCAATGTTATGTGAGTACTCATGTCCTGCCAAAGACTGTCCTGCCTCAACGATTTATTTTCCGTCCCGTCAGCTGGCGAAATGTGTGATGCCTACAATTTTCTGGAGTACGATTAAATGCTGCTATTATGGGGTTGGTGTGTTTACAGAACTACTTGACGTTAATGAACTTGGTTATCAAGTCTACTTGGTTATTTGCCATGTCTGTATTTGGTAACCCAAATTAATAAACTGTTATTTTGTTTGAAGAGGGGTTACTATATGAAGAGGCAATATTTATGCTGCAGAAAAAGGTACATTTTTTCTCTCTCACCCCCCCCCCTCCCCCCTTCGGGGTGGCACACGTCGGAACGCTTCCAAGCGCTGAGTTATACTGAAGAGAGGCGCGCAGCGCTCCTGGCGCGGCCGAGCGCTGTCTGGTGGCTACTACTGGCAACGAGTTCAGCCTCGCACACTCTGGCACCTTCCATACACCTCTCCGCTATTCTCACCGCCTCCTTAACCTTCCCGAGCCGCGTTTTCGCGTATAAATGTTCGTCCCCAGCCGGAGCAAGTGTGCAGTGTTCCTCATCGAGTTGCGCGGACTGGCCGACAATAGAGCATGTCTACACCACTTCGTACTTCAGGGCTTCACCATGCTAGACGCGTTTTCCCGTAATATGAGTACACAAGTATTGCAATGAACGTAATTGTTGTTATGCTGGGTAGTATTTTCTTTTTAGTAGTGTTTTTTTTTAGCAATTTTGTGTGTATATATATATATATATATATATATATATATATATATATATATATATATATATATATAAAATATATATATATATATATATATATATACGGATTTTTTAGGGAATCGTTTCGTCACTGTTTTAATTGTGCGAATTTTCAATATGGTATTTTATGGGAATGTTTGTAAGAGGTAGATTCTTCCTTTTTTTTTTTTTTTTTCTTCCCTAGGAATGGTCTCCTGGACTAGGATTTGCCAAAAGGATTTTACTGCCAAGGAGTTTAGTGGGTATTTTATGGCGTGCCTTTATGCTCATGGTTAAGTTTAATGAGGGGTTTTGCTGCTTCCCAATGGTATTCTTGAGATTAGTATCCCATGTTGTACTTTTCAGTGAATCATCAGGCGTATTTTACTTTTAAAGTTGTAATGGTGCTTGCTTTACTCCGGGAGACATTTTACCTTTTTTAATGGGATTTCACGAGTGTTTATTCAGGTTGGGTGATTTCTCAGGATATATTAATATTGCTGTTTTTCTGTTTGTTCCAGTGCATGTGTGTTCTCTCCTTCCCCTAGTTCACCGATTGGTAGCAAGCAACAGAAAGTGACAGACACAATTTATATTTTTCAAATCAAGTTGCAAAGTGGTTGTTCTTGGTGATAATGTATAGATGGGCTTCAATATATTTGTAATGATTTTGGGATTTTTGTGTCCATGATTCCGCGATTTCTTTCTAATGGTGTGCGTCCTTCTTCCTGACTTCCTTTAGCCCTGCTACGTCCTAAAGGGGCGTAACAAAGTGTACAATTCAAGTAGGTACATCAATAAAGTTTTACTGGTTACATTTTTGTAGTTGCAATATGTCTTGTTAGGCTTTTGTCGTTTCTGATTGTTTCCCGTTGGATAAAATCAAGTTGGCTCGTAGCGAGATGCCCGTCTTTAAATAATTATATTCTGATAGCGCACCAATAAGTCCCGTATGCTACGGTACAGATATGTGAGTAGAATTCATAATCTGTCTTGTCTTAGTATCAAATGTACTGTACTAACAAAATAAATCAAATAGGTCTATGTCTTAATGTTATGCTATGTAAATTAAAAATACAATAGCCAAAATGTGTTCGCTGTTTCAGTATTGTTAATACAATAACATTCTTTTTTCAGGAGTGAACTGAATAAGATATTTCACCTGTGTGTATAAATTAGAAACAGTCTGCCGAAACTAAAAAAAAAATCAGTATAGTTGAATGATGAAAAAGTGATTCTATACCAAAAAAAAAAAATGTTGTTTAGAAGACTTTGCCATTGATTCAGTAAATAAATCCATTATTCGCATCACTGTTTTATAAAGTGCAACACATCGATAACGTGATTGTGGTTTTTGCTTGGGATTATTTATAATAAGATTATGAATAAAATTTGTGTTACAAAAAAATACGGTCAATTACAAACGGCCAAAAATAAAGTTTTTCATCATTGCGAAAAATATTGATGTAATTAATATGGCTATATTATATTCATTTTCTCCAAGATCCCTCTGTCCCATTCACAAACGCCCCCACGCCCCCAATACGAAAAATTTATAACGCTATTCAAATACAAATAAGCCATTAAAATGTTTTTCAATTAAACTAAAAATCATATATACTAAATTAATATTATATTAAAAGTAATTACCTATACTAAAGTAATTAAAAATTGAAAAATAAAAATTTCTCTTAAGTATATATTGCATTACATTTCCCATGGTAAATTAGTACACGTACTAATATATTTCAGAGCAAATATAAAAGAATTTGAAAACCGTTTTACAATATTCCCGCTAATACGTAACTTCAGACTGCCAAACATCAAAACTGTGGCAGAACGCGGGATCCAGGCACGTATGTTTAGCATTCTCTTGAATACGGGAACAGCAAGGAGACAAGCTGGTGTTTACAGTGATAAGATTAAATCTTCACTCCCGTACCACTATCTGATGCTACACTAATCCTCAACAGCCGGCGTACAAAATGGGCATAACACCCACGATGTCCCGCGTATCTTTTCAGTGAGAAAATCACGTATTTCGGGTCAATTAGTTCCGATTCTTAAGGTCTTAGACGGATTTCTAAGTCGCTAACTCGCTGTCTGACGGGAACGCTTCGAGTTACCTGTCATTACGGAATTCAGTCACTTTTTTTTTATTTTATGTTTGTGTTAAGCATCGTGATGGTCCATTAGAATACACATTATTGGATATAAGATTTGTCATAAGCAATATGTAGGGGGCAGGAACATGTCGCATTTTAAAGGACCTGTACAGGATAGACTCCAATAGTTTTTCTTTTCGAGCTTTCTGTTTATTGGTCGTTGCCCCAGTGTGCAGCCAGTTTTACCCCAGACCAGGTTAAATGGCATTCGACGCTTGTTTCCTTGAAAGTCTGCTATTACCTCAGGGTTCAAGCCCAGTGTCTTATAAACTGCGAGTCAATTGTAAAAATAAAAAAATAAATAAAATTAGTTCGCGAAATGTTTAAATTCCTAGCAATATACTATACTAGGGGACGCAGCCCGTTCATTGTTTTTGTATTGTCACGTCACTAGAACAGCTACCATGTTAAAAAATTTGGTTGCCATTAAAAAATATAAAAAATTGCATACATACGTCAGCACCGCCCCCCGGCCCCTCCCCTCCCCCCTCTACCACACCTCCAACCAACAACCCCAAACCCAACACCCTCCACTTACATTCCACACCCTCCCCCCCCCTGTCGTTTTTAGTTATACAAAGACTGAAAAAAAATTACATAGAAATATAAAATTATAAGCCATACATTTAAAGCAAACATTACCTTCATCATATCTCTGTGCAATAATCTCCATGCACTAATACAAAACTTTCATAGGAAAAAAGTAATTTTTAGGGCCAAAAGTCATGATTGCGTGAACTGATCGTGCTGAAATTCGAACTTGACATGTGTTAGACCCTGAGGATTCGCTCTGCAAAATGTGAAGAACTTCTGTTGAGTTTCAAGGGACTTAGAAGTATTAAAGACGGACAGAGACCATCTACGTATTACATATATAGGTTGTAATATATAAAATCCTTTTTTTTTCTGCAAATAGCTTGCTGGGGCATTTGTGATGAAACGTGCGTCAACTCACCTCAATCCAGATTGGAAACTTCGGTCCATGTTCGCTTCGTGTTATCTACGTTTTGGCTCGATTCCCAGTTCAGTCCAGTTCGAAGACTAACCTTACGTTTCATGCTATGCATTGTAAATCACACACATGTTGACTTTTTTCCTTCCAATATCAATCCTTTATCTTTATGTATGTACGTATTGTGTTTGCATATACTGTACGTATACACAGCTAGTAATGTTTTGTATCACTGTAATTTATGTCTTGTCAAAAATTACATTGCTCGTTCAGCCTAATAGGTGTACATAATTCAATAATTTAATAAATGGATCAAAACAAAAAAAAAAGTAGGAAATAATTATTTTTCATATTCCACATGCACAATCTTCAATACTCGGCGTGCTGGGGACGTAGCTGAGTGGTAGAGCGCTCGCTTTGCGTGTGAAAGATCCTGGATTCAATCCACGGAGTGCTGGGGACGTAGCTGAGTGGTAGAGCGCTCGCTTTGCGTGTGAAAGATCCTGGATTCAATCCACGGCGTGCTGGGGACGTAGCTGAGTGGTAGAGCGCTCGCTTTGCGTGTGAAAGATCCTGGATTCAATCCACGGCGTGCTGGGGACGTAGCTGAGTGGTAGAGCGCTCGCTTTGCGTGTGAAAGATCTTGGATTCAATCCACGGCGTCTGCAACATAAAGTGTTATTCTTTATACCCTTGATGTTTGTTATAATTTGTTGGAATAATGTTTGCTGCAAGAGTAGGGCCTACGTGACCCTCCTTATTGTGCTGATCATACGTTTACTTTTTCCGGACATATACTTTAGAATCAACTATATCACTGCTGAGAGTCAAAGAAAGAAATTTTTTAATTTGTGACTGTTGCAAGGTAATTAGTGCTCAGAAGTGTCTGTGGATTTTAATCAGAATTATCCGCCAAAATTTCGTTGTCATTTAACCTACATTTAGCAAGCATATATTCTTGTCCACGTACACAAACATTCTTATAAGTAACTTAAGTAACTATGACTGATGTAAAAATAAATAAATAATCAGTTTAATTACAACGTTCGCAAAAAAAATTGCATACTGTGTGTGTGTGTGTACTAGAAAAGCAAAGAAAACTTTCGTTAAAATAAAATTTCCTTGGTGTGCCGCTGACGTCACTGAATGCATGCACAGCAGTCTTCAGCGTACCTCTGGGTCGCTGCTGAGCTCCTGATACCTACTGGACGTTCGCTGCCGGCCAGGGAGCGTTGTGATGCGTACGCACAAAACAAAACACACTCACTCACACACAGCAAACAAACCACGCCTCCTTTGTGCTCCTGGTCTCCTAATACTTATGGACTACGAACGTTGCTACATGCACACACGGCTCGGCGGTCTGATGGATGGATGGATGGATGGCTCTTTTGCTCTGTCGTAAGCCGTTTTCTGAATACCGCCGCCAGATTTTGAAGATGCGGAATCTCACAAAATATCCTTAGCAATAAATACACGCCGTTCATGGTGTCAAGTGAGCACTTTTGAGGCCCTAGTTTACTTTATTATTTCAGCCACACCCGTTAACTGCCTTTTTTAAAATGAATAATGCCATCCATGCAAGTAATAAACACAGTGCGTATATTCCACCGCACTCGGAAGGCGAAAATATAATTTTTTACTGTCTTGTTATCCCAAATGAGAGGTCTTTTAAAAGTGCTCACTTTATCGTGAATAGCTTATATAAGGTTCGTTCGCGTGAGATTATTTTTCACAAGTCGCAAAGCAGCCAGGACGACACGAACTTATGAACAAACAAACTATATAGGCTGTTCACGGTGAAGTGAGCACCTTTTAAGGACCTTCTAAATTATTCCTTTCGTCTAATTTCCATCTCCCTGCTGCTTTTTAATACAAGCACTGCAATGTGACCAATAAACACAGTGTATTATACATTTCACCACCCTCAAAATTTAATCCCTGAGGCTGCAATAAGATATATTTATTACTGGATAATTGTTGGGAGGGCCTTAAAAAGTGCTCACTTTATCGTGAACAGCCTATAGTAAGTCGGAAATAAGTAATTCCATTTTTTTTTTAAGTGTCGATAATTGTTATTGACCCTGTGTAATTTTTAGCTACTTGAGATAACTTACTTTAGAGGATAAAATGTCTTAATTATTTTGCATTGCAAAGAAGTGCATATCGCTGTGAACTTCTTACAGGATACCCAAACATCTTATCTCCATCAATCTGCGTAAAAGCAAAATACTTTTCACAATCGCCGCATCTCAAAACTCTTCGACGTTTGTAATTGTATTTTGCAGGCCATTTTTTTTATTCGCCTTGCCCGTTTTGGTATTTCTGCTACACGTGTACTTCGGCGAGCAAGAGCAGAAATATCTGTTTTTCATAGCACAAATAGTAACTGCTACCGCCACCCGAACAACGAACTAACCAGTGTACTTCTGGTATACGTGTACTTCGGCCAGCAAGAGCAGAAATATCTGTTTTTCATAGCACAAATAGTAACTGCTACCGCCACCCGAACAACTAACTAACCAGTGTACTTCTGCTATACGTGTACTTCGGCCAGCAAGAGCAGAAATATCTGTTTTTCATAGCACAAATAGTAACTGCTACCGCCACCCGAACAACGAACTAACCAGTGTACTTCTGCTATACGTGTACTTCGGCCAGCAAGAGCAGAAATATCTGTTTTTCATAGCACAAATAGTAACTGCTAACGCCACCCGAACAACGAACTAACCAGTGTACTTCTGGTATACGTATACTTCGGCCAGCAAGAGCAGAAATATCTGTTTTTCATAGCACAAATAGTAACTGCTAACGCCACCCGAACAACGAACTAACCAGTGTACTTCTGGTAACGCGAACGGCGTGCGCCCAGAGCCGTGCTTAGCGAGGGTAGTTGGGGATGAAATCGTTAGGGGTAGCGAAATTCTGCGAAAAGATTTCAGGACGGGTTATATTTTAAAACACTGTAGGATCGTTCACCTATCTTGATTGGCTGAATTCATTTTAGACATGTACTAATAATCTGCAGACAAATCGCGTAGGGGCCGTGCAGATGTAGCCTAATTCCGAGTGGCTCGGTCAAATATGAAAACGCCTTCTCAAGCAGACAGCAGCCAATGGCAATATACAAACTGCTGCTAGGTGCTTATAGTATTGAAGTCTACCGTGTGGTCTCATTTTTTTTTTCGCGCAAAATCACTAGCTCTAGAAATCGCGTACAAGGGGCAAAAAAAAAAAAAAAAAACTTTTTAAAAACATAAACAGGTTGTTAAAGTTGTATTTATTGAGTAATGCTACGGGTATAATAATTAGAATTACATTTTTTTTTTTTTTTTTTTAGAGATTTGGGGGGGGGGGGGGGGAGATTTTAAATGTTCACCCTCCACAATTCGACGTGCTCGGCCCTGGGCACCTGCGGGTTTCAGCAGTGACCATATTATAATTTTATTGGGGGAAAGTCTGTATAGGCCGTTCACGGTAAAGTGAGCACTTTTTGAAGCTGTTTCATCAGACATAATAACCACTAAATATATTTCATTGTAGTCTCGGAGTATTGGTTTTGGGTATGTCGAATTTATAACTGTACTTATTACTCGCATGGCAGGGTTTACATTAACAAGTGGTGGAAGGATGTAAATTGGTTGAAAGAAAAAAGTAAAGCAGGGATCACACGATGCAAGATGAGCACCAATCTTGCGCGAGATGCCGACCTTGCACGAGAATTTCTTGCACAAGTTCTCGTGCAAGGCACATCTTGCACGAAATGAGATAGAGCCGGTCATATTTTTCTCGTGCAAGGCGATGCAAGTTGCGATCCTATTGGTCCTTGTTTTCTGGTCATGTGACCTGTTGTACACTTAACCATAGAGTAAAAGAAAACCATAATCTGAGATGTGCGAAGAGGAATACAGGGAAATGTAAGCATTGCTGGAAAATAACTTTAAAGTGTGGATTGAGGTTTAGACAGTTCGCTGAGAATAAAATAATTACAGTTATATATTGGAGGGATAGCTTTGAAACAAATACCTTGTTGAGGAAAGCAACTTCATATTTTGTATTATAATAACTTGATTGTTTGGTACTCACCTGGGCTATCTACTAATTTTGATGCGAGACAGTATCCATCTTATATATATCTGCGTGTGAACTCGTTTCGCGAGCAATTTAGTTGGTATTCTTGTACGAAATGCATCTCGCATCATGTGATCCCTGCTTAACTAGGGCTTCAAAAGTGCTCACTTTACCGTGAACTGCCGATAGGAAGATCCATTGCATGCATTGTATATATCTAACGCGTATGTCGTGAGATGCAGCAAGGACTTTGAAATAGCCGTTTTTAACTATTGATTCTGGAATGACGTTTCTAATATGCCGGACATTTTGAAAACACTCAATAGCTCTCGTCTGAAGCGTGTGTGTTCTTTTGTTGGATCAGCGCAGTGGAGATTCGAAGAAAATCGTGTATTTCACACTGCAACGCAGTTAAAATGTAGGATGGAGCCTCAAATGGGTGGCGTATATTACATAATTATTACTTTTTGTCCTGCATGGAACACGCATATTTTTCTAGCTCTGTTCGTTTTGAACATCATGTTATAATTTTTTGGACTTCACTTGGCAAGTGACTTAGTTACGGGAGGGGAGGGGATATGTGTGATTTAGTGCCGTTGCTACAGGAGGGGAGGGGATATGTGAGATATGTGAGACATGTGTCCACTTCAAGATATGGATTCCATTTTGAGCTCTCTCTTTTTCGTTTGCTCTCTTGCTCACTTTTAGCGTGGCGTGCAAGTAATAGTTGATGTTATATTTTAATTAATTTCGCATGTCATGACACAGCAAGGTGAAAAATATAAAACAATCCTCTTCTAAATTATTTATATTTATAATATATACATATCTTGTTTTTGTCGTATCTCCAACCTTTCGTATCGTTTTTATTTTTAATTCCATTTTCAACTACGCATGTAGATAAAATACTTTTGTGACTTTTAAGTTTTAATTTAAATCATTTTAGTAATTAGTCATTGTATTAATTAATAGTTGTAGCAAGTACGTAGCTGTTAGTTGGATTTGTGATGATTGTTGCTTCTCACTGATACAGGCTATTCGCGGTAAAGTGAACACTTTTTGAAGCCCTCTCATTTGGAATAGTAGTCAATACATATATTTTATTTTGGCCTTAGACGTTAACTTCGGAGTGCAGTGGAATATACACACTGTGTTTATTACTCACATGGCAATATTTATTTAAAAATGTGGTTAAAGAATAAAAAATATCTGAAAGGAAGTAACTAGGTCAAAAGTGCTCACTTTACCGTGAACAGAATATAAAAAGATAAATACAAGCTTCTATCGTAGTTTGGTTCGTGTCCGGCTAGCATGTTGATACGGCAGTATGGAAAAGCCGTTTTTAACTATGTTGGAGGTCTCCAAAATAATATTTACAGCATGCGTG